TTTATTACAATCTTGACAAATGGTAAAAATAAAATAAACTGGTAATAATTTTCAAAATATAAAGGAAAATAAGAAGTAAGGAAAATTCTCAGTAACTTACTTGTTTATTGTAGGTTCTCCGGATAAATGGTGGACACCAACGGTTGTACTGCAATTAACTGGAATCTGCTGCAACCTTCAGGTATCCTACTGACTGCGCCAATTAAATAACTCGTTTTCAGACTCGCGTTTTTTAAAAACAATTTATTTAAAATTAAACTAAATACAATGGTTAAATAACGAATCAAAACAAGTATACAATAACAATAATAAATCAGGAATGAATGTTCACAGCCGTGGCTGCACTATATATAACGCACTAATGACTTGGACTATGATGTGTAGATATCTCTTTTATGTCTATATAATTATTGGCGTTCAGGTCTGCCATTGTTATTACTGGTTTGTTGATTCCTTGGATCACTTTTATCCATTTTTGTTTAGATATGATATTTGCATTAGGGACATATGCATTAAATAGATTAATTTGGAATTTAGGTAGGAAGATTGCTTGGAATTGAGAGTTATTATTAAATTTATTACATAAAGATATTTCATAAAATTCTACTTCATTCCTAATAAGGATGGCTATACCACCATAGGAATCATCTCTATCATTTCTAATTACTTGATAGCCCTTGCATCTGATTATTTGTTTATTATTTATCCATGTATTTGTTGTGCGACTCTAAGATTTGTTATATACTTAATCATAATAATAGAAATATCACCATGAGTAATTGGTTTTCATCCTCATATCTTGAAGAAAAGCTTTTAAAAAGTTGTCAATGGTTGGGATCTTAAGAAAAAACAAATCTGACATTCCGCCAGAATTTTTAAAAAGAAAAAATCTGACTGCATTTGACACTTTTATGTCTAGAGCCTGACCCACTACTCGGTGCAGACTTGAGCAGTTCATTTGTAACATTTCTGAGACTGAATGTGTCAATGGGGTTTATGTGTATTGTTGGTTGTTAACATTTGTTTTTTAAATATAAATAATATAATTACTTTATCTATTTAACCCGTTTGATAAATTTAATAGTAATAATAAAAAAAAGAGGTTAGTCTTCGTAAGTGATTATATTTATTTAAAAATCCTTAAAAGGGCTACATCAAAAAAACAAAACGTTTTCGGACTACAGTCCATCATCAGGTTTAAATTTTAAAATTGCTAGGTTAAAATACCTGAGCCACCAAAATACATGGGTAAAAACCCTTTAAATTACATATAGTTGTAAAAGATTATATATCTTGTTAAAAAACTGTGATGTTCAGTATTAAGTTAAATATGACTTCAGGTAACATACATTGCTGCAACATCAGGCAACAGCTGGAAACTATAAGTTTCCAGCTGGAAACTATAAGTTTCCAGCTGTTCTCCGTGTGTAGAGGTTTACTCCCCGGCTCTGGAACTCACTTCAGCAATGTATGTTACCTGAAGTCATATTTAATTTAATACTGAACATCACAGTTTTTTAACAACAAGATGTATAATCTTTTTTCTACTCTCTTACTAGTAAATTGTATATTACCTACTATTTGGATGCTAAGTAAATGCATCATAACAGATACTGACACGTAATGACTAGCACGTAATAAAAAAATTACGCTTCAGTTTTATGTCAATTGGTCGAGTTACCATGGAAATGAATTAACAGACGTTATTTTGACAGATTAAAAATTATTAATCTGTCAGTGTAAATATAGTGGTAATTTAATTTTTATTTTTATAAACGAAGATAATCGTAGAAAAAGTATAGTACACAACTTGAGTTGTAAGCTTATTACATGCTTGTAAAATTACTGCGCTCGCCGCTACGCGACTCGCGCGCAACTTTTTTACTCGCATGTAATAAGCTTCTTACAACTCTCGTTATGTAATATACTATTACAGCTACATGTAATTTAAAGGGTTTTTACCCATGTATTTTGGTGGCTCAGGCATTTTAACCTAGCAATTTTAAAATTTAAACCTGATGATGGACTGTTTAGTCCGAAAACGTTTGTTTTTTTTATGTAGCCCTTTTAAGGGTTTTTAAATAAATATACCCACTTACGAAGACTAACCTCTTTTTTGTGATACGTAGTATACAGCCAGCTACAGGAATTGTTTTCCTTGTGGAAATTTAATGTTTAAATTATAACAATAACTCTAAAATTAATACCGAATACTAATAATTACTAACAGAATGTTGACTGATTCTATTATAAAAATTTTGGATTCTGCACAAAATTATCAGAACTTTGATATATTGCATGTTAATTTAAATTAACTTATTTTAGGATACAGGGTAGTTAATAAATAGATCACTCTCTGTTTGTCTCCTTATGACTTTAAAACGTTCTAGATCTAATTTCAATAAGGAAGAGGGAGTTCACTTTCGTATATTAACTTGTTTTTAATAATGTATAAGTATAGGTATGTAATGTACTCTAAGATATATGTATCTATAATCTTTTAAAATATATAAAATATGTCAAATAAACTAAACCTGCCAATATTTTTACCAGGTGTCATATGGAATGTAGTTACATAGGTAGGTAGTTGTATCTTAAAGGTTATATATTTAAAAGTTAATAATAGTAATAGTAATAGGTACATTGTTTAAAAACAGTTAAATAAAAGCATGGCAATCCAATGTAATAAAGTTCTTTGCATTTTGTGTAAGATCCAATAATAAATAATATACCTAGTGTTCCATCTAAAATAATAATGTTGGCATCAGTATTTACATGACATCACACTGTATAACACATAATTTAATAAATAATCGTCATACAATGTATAACTGTGCTGTATAATGTATTTCGAAACGGGAAAATTATTCATTTTTAGATATTACAAAGAAAAGGTCTCTAAAACGTTTTTGAACAAGCCACAAAATTCACATTATAAGGCATGAATGAATAAAATAGGCAGCACCTTTTTTGTAGATGTATTATTCAAAAACAAACTGAAAAGTTATTACTATAAAAAGGGATCCGTACAGCTGTGGCTATGCTTGACTTAAATAAAACAACGATTAGATAGAAATAAAATTTTATTAAAAATTCTATATTTTTTAAATGTTAATATAATTTGGTACATTGATTTGTATATTTAATATTTTCTAAGTAAGTTTTTATATAAATAAACAGTCTATTTACAAATGTACCATTAGATAAAACTTTGAAATAAACAATTAGGACTAAATTATAAAATGATAGATTAACAACTAGAACCAAATAAAATGTATCGGCTATAATGGAACTATTAACATTATCTACTGACAACACTTATGTTCATCTAAACAATGATTTCTTTCTTTCTTCAAAACAAACATTCCTAATCAAAATTTAAAGCTCACAATATGTTGGAGATATGTAGATGATGTGTTGGACACATTTCTGATTAATATAAGTAAAAGGTAAAAAGATAAGTCAATAAAATTTACCTCATTTAAAAGTAGATACCTTTTCTGGATGTTTTAATTTCAAACGAAAATAGTGGATATGGGACTCATGTATACAAAAAATCAACACATACGAACATATAATATCTAACTTATAATTCATTAAGTAAAATTCGTTTTTGGAAGAAAAATAATTATTAACATCTATTTTAGTAGAAAATGATTATACGCTGTCGTTTATAAGTAAGGAATTTTCCAGAATAAAGTAAATGGAATAAAATAACACAAAGGAATCCTGTTACATTCGCACGACAAAATTCGAGGAAAATAACAATTAATAATATTATTATAAGAGTTATCAGAAAAACTTGACATCATGCACAAGTCTGTCAGTATTTTCCCGATTTAAATTCATAATAGGCCATCCACATTACGCGGCTCAGAGTAGTGGGTCAGGCTCTAGACATAAAGTGCATTTGACGAGAATAAAGACGTTAAGTATCAGTTCCTACAGAACCAAAAAAAAATTGTTCTGTTGCTGTCAACATTTCACACTTATGGTGTACTTGATGAAGATACTAGATTGTTTTATTTTATAACTACAAAAGTAGGAGTAGATAACTATATTATGATCAGTTGTAGCATTGGAAGACCGAGACTAGAAAAACTCGTCGATGGTCTCTTATAGCTTTTTATGACATGATTAATGATGCAGGTATTAATTCTTATTAGTGTTTATTTATAGCGCAAATAGAAACAAATTTTAAAATTACTTCCACTGCTACGCTACCATCTTTATTGTGACCAAACGCAACCCGTTATACACATAAGTGCACTATGTGTGGCCTAACTTAGACAACAATACTCCTTCGGCATTACGTCGGCATCATAATATGGGAAACTTTTTAGGTTTTATGAAAAAAGTTATTCTTTATAAAAAAGTTCTGAAACTACTCTCTTGCTGCATGTTCTAAAACCTAAAATACAATCATGAAATATTGTAATTAGTACATAAAATTTATATTTTTTATCTTTGTTATTCCTTCCCTGTTATCACGTTGATCGTATAGATTCCTAGATTCCTATACACTTTTGCTTCTGCTTTAAACGCTTTTGCTACTGACGCAGTCAATTCTTTTTAGCGACCGTATAGTTTTGAAGATCTAAGTCTGACCTAATTATATATAAACAGTAATATATATATATATATATATATATATATATATATATATATATATATATTATATATATATATATATTACTGTTTATATAATTTTCTGAACTTCGTTTATTTTTTTCTTGAATTTGATTTGGCCGTCACTAGGTCTTTTAATTTCTTTCCTGATAGTTTTCCAAGTATTTTAATAGCAGTATCTCTAATAATAATGGTCGGCTTTCTCCAAAATATTTTTATAAATAAAATACATATTATCTTGTAAAAATTATAGGCATAAGAAGGGTAGCTTAACTTAGGTGACGTCATATCTATGACTCAAAAACTTTCGTTTGCCATCGTCAACTGTCACTTGTCAGAAGTCGTTGTAATGACGCGTGTTTGTAATTTGCAGTGCTGATTTATTTTTAGTGAGATAAAATGGCAGAAAATCCAAGGAAACTTTCAGAACAATCCAGATCTACAGGTCAGATTTTTTCTTTATTATCATTTTTAATTTAATTAATTTAAGAGCACATTATGATCAATGGATTTGTTTTTGTATCGAGTCATTGTTATATAATTTGAACATCTGTGGGTGCAACAAATCAGTACCTAACTATTCATGAACAAGAATCACCTATAACTGTTGTTTGCTCTACAAATATTTTGATTGTTTCTAATCTTAGCATCCAATATTCTTCGATTAAGTCTGTATTTGATTTTAGATGTCATTTTTTAAGTAGTATAGAAATATACATTTTAAGTTTGATAAAATAATCTTGTCACCTAGGAGAAATTTCATTGGAAGTAGTTAATGAAGTAGATACCTAATTCCAAATTTATTACGCTTTATTACTCATAAATTCCTGCATATAATAACATTTTAGAAATGAGTTGTACCCTTTTAGATTTTAGAAAACTTAACAAATATTCATAGGTCGTTTCCGCCGGTGGAGTCTCACATGATTTGTATGTGTGTGTATGATTTTTAAAATCTATTAAGCTATTTTATGTAATTTGCTATAATTTTTAACCAGTAATTATTAGATTTCCAGTATTTTTCATTTTATTTCAGTTGACAGCTGTTTTTAATCAGTTCTGTATCTATTTATTTTGTATGACTAACTTTACCTGCAGTATACTATACCCTTATGTTGTTTGGGAGATCACTTCTATACTTATTGAAATTTTGTCTTGTATTCAACTTTTTATTTTTCCTTGCATCTCCTAATGATGTAACCTTTTAATTTTGATTAACATTTGTAGCTCTGCATTTTCTGTTGTGTTTTAGGTCAATTTTTGTTTGCACACTATATAGCTTAATTGACCTTGCATAGTATATCCTAGTTTTGGCTAATATATCCTTGTTTCTAGATATAGCAAAAATTCAGCACTATCCTGTTTTCATTTACTCATATGGCTACATAAGTTGCAAGTATTGCACTAATATCACACTTTTCAATCATTTGTTGTTGACAATGAGTGCACATTTTTTTTGTTCTGCTCATAGTTGGTAATTATATATTGGATTGTACTTCTTTTTGTGACATTGTTAGAGAAGATATGATATTTTTGTTCTCTCATTTCATATTTTTTCCTTAGTTTACTGTGTCTCTATGATTATATTTATGTTAAAGACTGTACACAGTACACATGAGTATCATTTTTGCCTTTGCATAGCCTTTTTTTGTTTCTAATGTACCTTAATATGCATTAAAAGTTTCCTTTGTACGTATTCCACACTGTTTTTAATAATATTCCTATGTATAATATTAAATGTAACTGTTGTTCATTCCTAATAAGGCAACTATAATCTGCCTGGAAATAGGCAGTTAAATTACATATAATATATCCATTTCAGTTTAGTTTGATTTTAACCATAATACTGTTTACATTATATCTGTGCTCTGTGAGTAAAGGGAATTAAGTCCTAAAACACTGTTTTGACATAAATGAGTTTCAAGTTTGCAGTAATCTGTTCAAGTTATACTTTTCCGAGTTTTTATAAGAATGTATCCCTCAAAATTATTTTAAATATTTTTGATCAACTAAATATTTATTTCTCTCAATATAATAATCAATAAATAATCAAACCATAGAAGTATCATAAAAAAATAAGCATAAAAAATAATATTTAATAATAATGGGATTCTTGAGACCAAAGTAGGATTTAATAAATACTAATACAAGAACATTTAGCAAGAAAAAAAACTTATGTTTATTCATTTAAGTGATACTAAACCAAGTAAGTTCTATTTAATAACAGAAATAAAGAAAAACTGATTTAAAAAAACGAATCAATATGTATTTAAAGTTTTATTTAGTATTTACATTTTTTCCCTTCTTCCTGCCAGTTTGTTTCTTTGCTTTATTTTCTTGGGCAGTTGTCATTTTTTTCGTGTTTTTCATATTTACTTTCTTTTGTCAATTGGTTGCACTATCTCTTCATTTTCTTCATCAGGAATATCATCAGGATAGGTATCCTCTGCTTTATTTGAGGTTGTTAAGTCTTTATAGAATTGGTGAAATACTGGTGAAATATATGGAAGCAGGTCGAGATCATTTTTTTTCTTCTTAGCTACAGAATTTTGTCTTGGGTCATGTAAATTAGGGTTCATTTTGTTAATGGTTTCTTTGCCTCTTTTTTTAAAACTAATGCATTGAAACAGTTGATTAAGGTCTATGGAATATTCTTCTTCTTCTTTTCATATAGACATGACTCTGTCTGTTTTTCAATGTGACTCTAATAAGTTGTCATTCTATAGTTTTCGTGGTCTTCCTACTGATTGTCTTCCTATTGGGGAGCCATCTCTTGCCGTCTTCACTACTCTATTTGTCATTCGGCTTATACAGTGTGACCCATTTAGATTGGAAACACCTCTATAAAATTTGAAGTTGTTAACCGATTTTAACCAAATTTTTTTTAATGTCATGTAATAAAAGGTCTATTGCGGGACAAAATATGAAATATTTAGTTAAATTTTCAGGGCATTCTATGATACTTTTTCTTCGTCGAAAATGGAGAATTTGTATTAGCGATTTTTTTAGTAAAAAAATTTCTACAACTCTGGATTTAGAGTGGCTATGTGCCTCCTGGAAGCTCTTGTACCAAGGAAATTTGGGAATATCTGGCTAAATTATCGAGTATCTATTTTGGTTCACGAAAGAGTATTCCTTCCACTGGTAGCTCTACTCTCGAAGCAATGTTGACTTGCAAGAAACAATACTGTCAGAAAGCATTACTTTATGTAAAATACCAGTATCAGTTAAAATGCTTTATTTGGCTAATAAGTTGACATATTCATTATGTTCAAATCCTTCATGTGCTTTAATCCAGAGACAATGTACATACAATAACAAACTTATGACAACTTAAAATTTTAAAACTCACTAAGAAAAAACACTCTGTATTAACAGAAACATGGAAACATAATTTTATTTTAAATCCTAGTTGCCTCTACCAATCCACCATCTAATTGGATACATTTGTCGTAGCGTTTATGAATATTTCTAATTACATTTCTTAGTTGTTGGGGAGTAATTTCTGCACATGCCTGTCGAATTCTTGCACGAAGTTCGTTTACTTCTCTTGCATGGGTTTGGGAAACTTTTTGTTTGATAACTCCCAGAGAAAGAAGTCTAAAATTGTGAGATCTGGAGACCTGGGTGGCCAATCTATCAACAGGCTACCCCGGCCTATCCAATGGTTCGGAAAATTTTCATTTAGCCATTGCTTCACGGTTCTAGCATAATAAACAGAACACCCATCTAACTGGATATACAAATTTAATTGTTCATTAATTGGGAGCTCATGAATAGCATCCCACAAGTTGGTGTTTAAAAATTCTAAAAAGTTGTGTGAGTTCAAGTTTTTTTTCAAAAAAGAAAGGACCAATAACTTGCTTGTTCAGTATACCACACCAGACATTGATTTTTTGAGAATACCCAATGGGGATTATTTGCTGTCCAATAGCGACAATTCTGTGATGATACTACTCCATTTGTAGTGAAAGTGGCTTCGTTGGTAAACAACACGTTTTTTAGAAAATTTATACCGTTTAAATATTCCTCTAGGGCCCATAAACAATATTCTAAACTTTTTGCTTTGTTGTCTTGTAATGTGTGTAAGAATTTTGGTTTAAAAGGTTTAATATTATTTACCTTAAGACATCGCCGAATACTCTCTCGAGGCACATTCAAATATAAACTGGCATTAGGGTTATTTCTGAAATGATCTAAAATGATTTGATCATTTCCTCTTCTTCTTTGTAACAGGTTATTTTTTAAAATTAGTTTTGATACTGCACCATATTCATATTCTATTTATTTTGTTTACCATACCGCAGCTAATATTAGGATAATCCACATATCTGTCATTAAATATTGTACAAACTTCTCTGGCACTTTTATCGTTATCTCCCAAAAGATGTATAATTTCAATTTTTCCTCTCAAACTTAATCTTGCAGCCATGACACTAAATATTATTAAAAGAATTTGAAGTAAATATTGTTGCAGATATTATGCATAAATTTATGCTAGCACTGAAATTTGTATGACACAAATAATGTTAAACAGTAATATAGTTGTCATGGCAACTGAGATTTAAGTTTTAGCATGTAAAGTTAATAATAATGTAAGTGCGTTGCTTGTATTAATTTTTTATGTTATTTTAAACATTTTTTTGTCTAGTAGTGGTTTATTATTAAAATTATTTGAAAAATAATTGGATGGTGTTCTGCAATAATAGTCTAAGCCACATATAATGGTTCAGAGTAAATGAGCATATTGTGTCTACCTACTATAAGAAATTTACTGGTAGAAAATAAGGCTTTATTTTCACATTTTTATATTTCAATAATTACAGGCTATCTAAAAAAACAGTTAAAAAGCAAAATAAGTAAAACCAGTTTATTGCAAAAATAACTTTAAAGCGGCTTAGACGGGTTTTTGCAAAATTGTAAAAATATAAATGGTCATTTTGCAATAACCGTCTATTCCTCCGAAATGGTGAATACACAAAAAAAAAACTTTGAATTTGAGTTCATTAGTAAAAGTAAGTAACTGCTACTGATTAAATTCCTATTCCATTTAATCTTGATCAATCTCGAAATCAGGATTTAACCCAATTCCTTCCAAATGATACCTATAATATTCCTATCATATTCCTAAAATATTTTGCTGACCAAAATTTTGACTATCAAACAACAGTTCCAATATTTTATATACTGAACAACTGGTTTCGTTATTTGATCAATGCAATTTTTTGTCGGTATTTATGGCACTAACATTTGAGTAATCGCAAAACATTATGTTACCTTTTCGGTACACTATCTGGGATAAAAGGAATTTAAAAATTTGTTAATCAATTGCCGAGCTGACAACACAGAAAATTCATAGTTTTAAATAATATACTTTCGTAATTCACCATTAAAGATAAAGCCTCTAGTTTGGTGTAATTTTATTTATTTAAATAAAATTGTGAT